TGTCTGAACTGTTAATGGTTGAGTGTGGGCATGTAGAGGGTAGAACCTGAGGCGGGACCTCGTGCGCAAACTCTGACGTGTGGCTGTGATTTATAAATGAAAGATGCGCAGAAACGTGCGTACGTACGGTTTTATAAATCTGAATTTTTTTTGGCGTACGCCATTTCTGCCTTTTGGCCGTACGTTCACTTTTAGTATGGTTTCCATGCAATCCTTTATAAATGAGACCCCTGACCTGTGCCCTCATGACTGCAAGCAAGGCCCTGATCCATCCTTCACTTGTGAACAAAACTGTCAGATAGAACTCTTCCACTTAAAGCAACAAATCACCATGCAGGGTGGAGATAGTGCCTGTTTCCATCAGTCCTTGTGCAAAAAGCATCCTACATCCTGGACATTCACTAGTCCATCACAGGGCCACTTGATGATGTTCTCACTCACACAGTAAAAATTTAAAGTTAGTAAATAACAGCTATGTTTTCATTGTGTGGGAGGAAACCAGAGAAAACCCACACATACATATGGAGAACATTCAAAATTCACACAAAATCTGGCTTCTTATCAGGAGGCGACAGCTCTAACCACCGCTCCACCATGCTACCTGGGCTGTGGTGAGTGGTTAGACGAGTCATCCTGGACTGGAAGTTTACCGGTTCGATCCCCCGTTCCAGCTGTGTCAGTCATTGTGCCCAGTGCAGAGCAGCCCCACCTCTATCAGTGTGACCCAGGGCAGCTGTGGCTACACTGTAGCTTACCACCTTCGCTGTGTGAATGTCTGAAGTGTTAAGCGCCTTGGGGTCCAAGTGGACTTGTTAAGGTGCTGTAAGTTCAAACCATTTACCTGTTCCAATAAATCTTTGTTCAAAGGAAACAAAGGAAATAAAATCATGAAGACCAGACATTTGTTTTTATTTCATTATAAGGGCTGCAACGATGCAGAAGATTCACAATTCAGTTTGGTTCAATACTTTAGTCTCACGGTTCGATATTTTTTCAATACAAAGAAAGATCCACGCCCATCTTAACTTGTAATTTATTGAGTTTAATTATGAACATTTGTTTAACCTTAAAAGTACAGTTTTTAAATTCAGAGTTGTAAAGTAACTAAGTACAAGTACTTTGTTACTGTACTTAAGTAGAATTTTTGTGTATCTGTACTTTACTTGAGTAATTATTTTTCAGCGTACTTTTTATTTTTACTCATTACATTTTTACACAATTATCTGTACTTTCTACTCACAACATTTTTTAAAAAAGGTAAGAAGTAGAAAGTTGTTACTCCTATTGTATTCTGAGTTGTTGTTACTTAAAAAAATCCTACCCTGATAAATAGTGTCTCCTGGATAGAGTGAATTTAACTGTGGTTGGATGAGAAACATAAATATAAACCATTCTGACACACTATTAGCTTGTACACAACCCATCACAGCTGCACACTGTTAGAAAAAATATTTTTTGGAGAAGTCACCTCCCAGTAAATGTCATTTTGGAAAATCTAACTGCTCACTTTTACTCAGTACTTTTACTTTTAATACTTAAGTAGATTTTGTGTCAGAAATTTACTTTTGATACTTAAGTACAAAAAATATCAGATACTTTAAGACTTTTACTCAAGTAATATTTTTAGAGAAGACTTTAACTTTTACCAAAGTATTTTTATGATAAGATACTTGTACTTTTACTCAAGTATCACTTTGAGGTACTTTATACAACACTGTTCAAATTAAATGTTGCTGAAACAGCAAGTTTCTCAGTGGATCTGCGCTAGGTGGAGTAGTCGAACACAGATCCACTGATCCTTTAACACAGAGCATCTTCAGAAGACAAGTTGATAAAGTAAATTTTAAAAATCTGTATTGTTCCAAACATAGTGTGTATTGAACACTTTGATACAGATATATGTACAGGTGCTGGTCATAAAATTAGAATATCATGAAAAAGTAGATTTATTTCAGTAATTCCATTTAAAAAGTGAAACTTGTATATTATATTCATACATTACATACAAACTCATATATTTCAAATGTTTATTTCGTTTAATTTTGATGATTACAAATGACAACAAATGAAAATCTCAAATTCAGCATATCAGAAAATTAGAATATTACTGAAGACCAATAAAAACAAAGGATTTATAGAAATGTTGGCCAACTGAAAAGTATGAACATGAAAAGTATGAGCATGTACAGCACTCAGTATTTAGTTGGGGCTCCTTTGGCCTGTATTACTGCAGCAATGCGGCGTGGCATGGAGTCGATCAGTCTGTGGCACTGCTCAGGTGTTATGATAGCCCAGGTTGCTCTAATAGTGGCTTTTAGCTCTTCTGAATTGTTGGGTCTGGTGTATTGCATCTTCTTCTTCACAATACCCCATAGATTTTCTATGGGGTTAAGGTCAGGAGAGTTTGCTGGCCAATTAAGAACAGGGATACCATGGTCCTTCAACCAGGTACTGGTAGCTTTGGCACTGTGTGCAGGTGCCAAGTCCTGTTGGAAAATGAAATCTGCATCTCCAAAAAGTTGGTCAGCAGCAGGAAGCATGAAGTGCTCTAAAACTTCCTGGTATGTGGCTGCGTTGACCCTGGACCTCAGAAAACACAATGGACCAACACCAGCAGATGACATGGCACCCCAAACCATCACTGACTGTGGAAACTTTACACTGGACTTCAAGCAACGTGGATGAAGTGCCTCTCTTCTTTTCCTCCAGACTCTGGGACCTTGATTTCCAAAGGAAATGCAAAATTTACTTTCATCAGAGAACATGATTTTGGACCACTCACCAGCAGTCCAGTCCTGTTTCTCTGTAGCCCAGGCAAGACGCTTCTGACGCTGTCTGTGGTTCAAGAGTGGCTTGACACAAGGAATGCGACAGCAGAAACCCATGTCTTTCATACGTCTGTGTGTGGTGGTTCTTGAAGCACTCACTCCAGCTGCAGTCCACTCTTTGTGAATCTCCCCCACATTTTTGAATGGGTTTTGTTTCACAATCCTCTCCAGGGTGCGGTTATCTCTCTTGCTTGTACATTTTTTTCGACCACATCTTTTCCTTCCCTTCGCCTCTCTATTAATGTGCTTGGACACAGAGCTGTGTGAACAGCCAGCCTCTTTAGCGATGACCTTTTGTGTCTTGCCCTCCTTGTGCAAGGTGTCGATGGTCGTCTTTTGGACAACTGTCAAGTCAGCAGTCTTCCCCATGATTGTGTAGCCTATAGAACTAGACTGAAAGACCATTTAAAGGCCTTTGCAGGTGGTTTGAGTTAATTAGCTGATTAGAGTGTGGTACCAGGTGCCATCCATTTTGTACCTTTTCACAAGATTCTAATTTTCTGATATGCTGAATTTGAGATTTTCATTTGTTGTCATTTGTAATCATCAAAATTAAACGAAATAAACATTTGAAATATATGAGTTTGTATGTAATGTATGAATATAATATACAAGTTTCACTTTTTAAATGGAATTACTGAAATAAATCTTCTTTTTCATGATATTCTAATTTTATGACCAGCACCTGTATATCTGTTTATTTTTAACTGGACAGTACACACAATTGCACGTTTTATTTTAAACAAGTCTTTTTTTCCTTCTGTTCACACTTCAGGCTTTGGCTCAGGCCATTAAAGAGGCAAAAGAGCAGCACCCAGATATGTCTGTCACTAAAGTGGTCGTTCACCAAGAAACAGAAATCACTCCTGAGTAAGAAGGTGAGTGTCCAAAACAGTCATTACAGTACTAGTTACTGAGAATATTACACAGAACTTCTCTCTTCCTCATTTAACTGATATAAATATCATATCTTGATATTTGTGACCCATCACATCGAAATGAGGATTAAATCTGAAAGTGGTATAAGGAGAAATAGATAAATATAGTGTTTTGATTAAAATGTTAACAAAAAATGCATTTTGTCAAAATATAATGAATAAAAGCCTTCTCAATGTATCAGTTGAATGAACTGTCTGAAATATAATCATAAAACAAAATTTTGAAGCATTTCTTTGAGCAGTAGCAACAAAAAACTTGATTTAGAGGAAAAACGCCTTAAATATTTGAGATTTTCCCTGTGAGTTAGCAAAGCTGTGTTTCTTTTTAGCTGGGGAATCTCAATATTCAAATATAATTTGAGGTTTCCTCTTTATAAGGACATCAAAAATTCCTCATTAAAATGACAAAAATTAGGATTCAGACCAAATATTTATGTATTATTGGAACCAACAAGACAAATTAAGGCATATGTATGGATTTAATTATATCAGAATGATCCAGGTATCAAAATGCAGCTTTTAAAGCCAAGAATCTCGAAATATTATTAGGTAATTTAGACTAAATTTAATTTAATCCTCATTTCGATATGATTGGTGTCACATATATTCACATTTCAGTCTGAAACAGGAAGCTCTGCTTGTTTCCATGTTTTTCTCTTTTTGTTTTATTGTTCATCTTTTTGTCTCTTTCATACAAATAAAAACAACTGCTTCAGCTGGACCTCAGATGCCCCCTCTCCCTCTGACTTGTGTCTCCGTAACAACGTTTTACCTCAGCGGCCCAAGCCCCCCGCCCCCCTCCAGCTGAAAGCCCAGCCCAGACCAGGAGGACCCAGCCTCAGCCCTGATGAAGCTCATCTCCATACGTAGTCACCAGGACTTTCCCAAGACCTTTTTTTAGATTTACCAACAACCCCCCCTCGTGTTCTGTTTTCTGCCAGCAGAACAACTGCTGGTGTTTTAAATAAAATGAAATTTACCAAAAAAAAAAAAAAACAATCTTTCTAGTAAAAGTGGGAGTGCAACATTTTTGGATTTGTTCGCTCCCATTTACATGGAGATAAAAAAAACAATCAAGGGCATTTGGTCTTTTAATCTTGAGAGTACCAGTACTTTATTTTTCTACAGCTTTTCTTACCATCAGGATTGGTCGTCGAGATCTCGAAAGCCGACATTTTTTAACAACGTGTTGAAAAACGACACAGTTCAAGAGATTGGGGGTGAATTTTTCTTGGTGTTCGGACCAAAGCGTCCCTCCCCAAATGTTGTTGGTGATTTTTTTTTCTTGTACAGTAAAATTTTATTTTCCCTCTCAATACAAAAGTATTTTTTCAATTTATGTATAAATAGATTAATTTTATCTAAATGGGGGCTTCAGTTGGGTGGAGTATGACTCCTTTTATCCTATTTAAACATTTGTGAGATGATTTTTACATCCTTGGACTGTTTTAGCTGTTGTTGTTGTTGTTGTTGTTGGTGTTGTTGTTGTGCTTGTGTTACTAAGAGGTTAGAGTTGAACTGTAATTATCTATTCTTTATTTATTTTTCGCCTCTGTATCCTGTGTGTGTTTTACAGGTTAGCTTTATCACTTCCTTGTGTTTTACCAAGTTTATTTATCTTTTCTATTTTCCTACCAACAGGCAGTGCACACTCATCCACACAAATGGTGTTCCAACGTGGTTTTATTTGTTTACGAAATGAAGTTATTGACAAGATGTCTGTTGGTGCTCAAAGTGTTGCAGGAGGTGAACCAGTAAAGTAAATTACACCAAAAGCAACATTTTCTGAAACTGAAAAATAATGGTTCAACCTAGATGTCCTGATGCATCTCAGTAATCCAGGTAAAAAATCAAAAAGAAAAAAATAGTATAGGTCTTCTGGACGGGTTCTTCTCTAATGAAACGTTTCATCTCTCCTCCAAGAGACTTCTTCAGTCTGAGAGTTTCAGGCAAAACTCAGGCTTTTAAGCCCTGCCTCCATGTGACTGATACTCACATRACATGGCTATCGTTGACACCTAATTAACACTTATTGTTAACAGGGGGTGGAGTGATACTGGCAATAGCAGCACTGTAGGAGGGGGACAGCTGAAAACGGAGGCCTCCACCTCTGTTTAATGATGGATGGTCTTTCTTCACAAAGATGGCTTCTTTTACTCCTCTCTCAAACCAACGTTCCTCTCTATCAAGAATGAGAACATCCTCATCTCTGAAAGAGTGACCGCTGGCCTGTAAATGAGTGAAAACTGCAGAGTTCTGGCCATTAGATGTAGCTCGTCTGTGTTGGGACATTCTTTTGAACAGTGGCTGCTTTGTTTCCCCGATGTATAACTGGTCGCAGTCCTCCTGGCACTTAACAGCATATACAACATTGCTCTGTTTGTGCCGGGGCACCGGATCTTTGGGGTGAACCAGCCTTTGCDGTAATGTGTTTTGGGGTTTGAAAGCCACTGGGACATCATGTTTAGAAATTAAACGTCTCAGTTTCTCTGAAACACCCGCAACGTACGGAATAACCACTGGTTTGGGTCTGGGTTTGGGGTCTTCATTTTCACCTGAAGGTTGCATGGAATCCTGTCTGTGTTTCCTGTCTGCTTTCAGGAAAGCCCAGTCAGGATAACCACACTGCTCCAGGGCCTGTCGTGTGTGTGATTTCTCTTTCTGCCTGGCTCCTGGGTTTGTAGGGACACTGTCTGCTCTGTGGTACAGAGTCCTGATCACTCCTAACTTGTGTTCCAGTGGGTGGTGGGAGTCAAAACGCAAATATTGGTCTGTGTGGGTGGGCTTACGATACACGCCAGTTTCCAACCGTCCTCCATCCGAAACCGAGACATCGCAATCCAGGAACGCCAACCTGCCGTTTTTTACATCCTCTCGTGTGAACTTAATATATTCATCCACAGAGTTGATGTGATCAGTGAAATGTTGGACTTCCTGGGCTTTAATTTTAACCCAGGTGTCGTCAACATATCTGAACCAATGGCTCGGTGGCACCCCTGAAAAGGACATCAAGGCTCTCTTTTCCACTTCCTCCATGTACAGGTTTGCAACAATAGGAGAAACTGGGGATCCCATGGCACACCCGGAGGCAGTGCTTAAAAGCCTGAATTTTGCCTGAAACTCTCAGACTGAAGAAGTCTCTTGGAGGAGAGACGAAACGTTTCATTAGAGAAGAACCCGTCCAGAAGACCTATACTATTTTTTTCTTTTTGGTTCAACCTAAAGTTTCTGTTTTTTCCCCATCATTTGGGATAATAATGTAGCAATGAACCAGGACATTTCTATGACAATAAGGTTTTAACTTTTAATGCTATGTTTTTTCTATATAATGTTTACAGTTTCACTGTACAGTTTACAGCTCAGTCAGTTTTCACCTCCACCACATTGTACTTTTGCAGCTTTGGTCACCTCATATTCACACTTCCCAGCCAATCAAACATTAAGCTCTTAAAAAAATGACAATTTAATATATTAGCCTAAAAATACAAGCTGATTAGGTTGTGTTTTCTCTATTTAATACAAGCAGCATCTGCCTCAACACCTGCACTGATGATGTGCATCATGACTGAGTAATTACAGGAGTCGGAGGAAGAAGTTAAGCATAAATGAACAACCTCTATCTATACAGGTTAATATAACTATATTCATGTAGTATAATTTAATTAGGTATATTTATATAACACCGATTTAAAACAAAGGTCATCTTATTATCCCAGATTCCTCTTTGCGATTGAGATCTCAAACTTAATGTGTTTTATCTAAGTACATAAAGGAAATGGGTTAAACAACAGTGAAAACAACTAATCTAAATCATAAATTCAGTTCAGATCCAATTATTGTTTTTTTCTAACAATACAGTACCTTGTAAATGCCAGTTACTAAAAGTTATCTAAGGAAGCCGACTTCACATTGTTCATTCTGAGCAGCACAGTGGTGACAGTAGAAAGGAAAAACTCCTTTAAAACAGAAAGTAACCTCCAGCAGAACCAGAATCTGCCTCGATTGATTTGGGTCAGAGAGGACAGGAATGAGACAGAAAAGAAAACAGAATGGATGATCCAGGTGTGGTTTCTACGGGAAGGACATGAGAAACAGATAAATGACAGCAATAATTACAATAAACAAGTAGAGAAGAGAGACTAAAGACAACAGCAGTTTGTGCTCCAGCAGTCTAAGTCTACAGCAGCAGAAATGAAGAATAATTCAGGAAACCTAAGTCTAACTATAGGATTTATGAAAAAGGAAAGTCTTCAGTCTAATCTTAAAAGCAGACAGAGTGTCAGCCTCACGGACAGAAACTGGAAGTTGGTTCCACAAGAGAGGAGCTTGATAACTGAAAGCTCTGCCTCCCATTCTACTTTTAGAAACTCCAGGAACCACAAGTAAACCTGCAGTCTGAGAGTGAAGTGCTCTGTTAGGAAAGTATGGAACAATAAGATGTTTAATTTATGATGGAGCTTGGTTGTTAAGAGCTTTGTATGTTAGGAGGAATATTTTAAATTATATTCCAACTCTCATGGGAGCTGCATTTTGGACCAGTTGAAGACTTTCTCTGGATTTTGGACACATCAGTTGTAAAGAATTACAGTCGTCCAGTCTAGACGTGATCAATGCTTGAAATAGTTTTTCTGCATCATTTTTGGACAAAATGTTTCTAATTATAGTGATATTGCATTGGCCCATCTGTTCACTCATTCTCCTTTCTCCTGTTTGCTGCTGAGCAGGGTCATATGAAGTTAGTGCTCTTGCAAATGCATAGATGAGAAGTAGCACCTGTTTTTCACCCTAATAGTACAAAATAACTGCTAAGTATGAGAGGGGGTGTGAATCCTCACAAGGATGAATTGACCAGCACAAAGAGTTTCCTGATGCTGGTTCATTACCTGAGTTCTCTCTGCAGCCCAACAATCTGCAAGATGTGAAGGACAGTTTTCTCAAAGTTTCATTCATTTCATTCAGAATAAATGGAAATGATGCATGACTGATATGAACAAAACAAGATATTAAACTAATTAATTTAAAACCTGTTAAAACTATGCAGAATGAAAAAACAAGGAGACAAATTAAGGCTTTGCTCTTTTCTTGTCTTTAAACTGAAATATTTTCTTAAAGACAGAAAAACAATTGAAATAATAATGAAAGGCTGTTTAGTCTTTGTAGAAACGTCATTACAGTTTAAATGAATAAAAACAAAATTCACTAGGAACTGTTCATTTTAAAAATCTTTTTGATCATCTGAACAGCAAACAGTTCTCATCGCACAGTGTTATTTTTATAACAGTTTATTAAAACACAGAAACTTCTCTTTGTTTTAGAACTATACACTAAATGAATTATATTAAATGTAGGACACAAAAGTTAATGCACTGCCTCTTTACATCAGATGTGTTATTTTGGTCCTTTTGTTTTCTAACATTTGGCAGAATTAAAAGGTGATGCTTCATTCTGTACAGAGGTTGATGCATGTTAAGTTGCTTCACTTTGGGTATTTTTATCACGACACTCTCTTTGTGAATAAACATTTCTAAATGGTTTCTTTATTGTGAATCTTCAGTATCACAGGAAATCGTGTAAAAAGCACCTTGAGTTAATTAAACAATTTTGTAGACTTATTTTCTTGTCTGTCGAGTCTTCTTACTGCTGATATGACTTTGGCTTATAATTCAAGTGCATTTTTTTATTACAATGACTTCCAATTTTGTAGAAAATGAGCTAAAACTTTGTTCTAGTAGTTTGACGTTAACCAGTAATAATA